CAACTGACGAAGCCCTGGGTGTAGGTGGATTTGTGGAGTGTTTTTTTTTTCAGTTGGTTAGGGTTTTAGTTGTAGAAACGGTGTTGCCCTCCGACAGAGAACATGATGCACTGAAATGCAGTAGAGCATGTGATATTATTATTGCTGCCGTCAGTTTGGGGTGCTTATTGTGAGACGTTACCCTTTGGGATTTTGATTGTTTAAAATAAAACATGGCGATGAATGTGTGCTCTGATATTACCTTGCTGTGACTTTGCGAGCACCGAGGAGATGATCGTCGTTAGTATACTGTGTAAAGAGACGTGGAGGATTATTTCTTATTTGTAAATCTGATGATTGTTGTTTGTGAATTGATGTGGTATGCCCTGTCTTCGGTCTGCTAAATTGTGCCATTCTTTCTCTTTTTTTCCAGTTCTTGATTTTTTTTTTCTGAATCTAGTGGCTGCAATTGATAGATTAAAAAAAATCTTCCATATAGTTGTGCTCTTGGGCACGTCCATTTCTACAGGTTCTGCAAGGAATCGAGTGATGAGGAGAGGAGCATGCTGAAAAGCTGAGGAAGTACCTAGTACTACATCATTGGCCATTGCCCCTAACTGCTGTGATCATTTGGTTACTGATGTTGTGTGACATATTCTTGTGCTCTAGAACAAACGTGGTGGGAAGGTGAGGATTCAGACATCCAAGTCCATTGCGACACCCTTGACAGAGTTTGATCACCCTGAGGAAGGCGATGGTTTGTACGCTGAGTAGCTTTGTGGTACCGGGACTTTTCTACGTGCTTTCTTGATAGTACTGTAGTTGATGGCTGCTTCCGTACACGTACGTTTTGCTGTATGTTTCCGGGCTTCTGATGGGGCATCTGAAAAATAAACTGTGAGGAGGCTGCATGTTTGTGATATATCAGGGAAGTAACAGAAAGTTCGCTATTGTTGCAAAATTGAATTTTTCTGTTCCTTCCAAATAAGAATATTCTCTTCTCTATTAATAGTACATGCTTGGAAGGGAAAGAAAGAAGAATATTCAATAGAAAAATTGATAGTGTTTAGCATGCCTCATCATAGAGTAGAAGCCTGTTATTTTAGTAAATCTTTTGGGTGTCAGTTATGTGTCTACTCTTCGCAGATCAGTACTAGCCTACTAGGAACCTAGATTGGCCTTCTGTTCATGTGATATATATAAGGAGTTTTTATTTAGCACGCACTAATATGGTAGCTCTGTTTCAATCTGCACCTCTTTTCTGATTGCAGCTATGGAGTTGGCTCTGGTTCTTGAAAAGCTGGTTAATAAGAAGCTAAGCTACACAACCTGGAGAGTGTAAGTTACCCTTAACAGCATTACACGCTTACAGATAAATATTGTGTGCTTCAGGAGCACCCAAAACTGATTTGATTGAGCAAAAGTCGATTAATTTGTTAGAAGCAATACATACAGCTTGTAACGAGTTTCCGTTCATAATCAACAGGTGGCAACAAAGGTGCAATGATCCTCAACTGACCGACTTCATCGAGATTGAGCTTCTTCAGGAGCAGGTAAATCCACCAACTACATTAATTTGTTCATGGTAGCAGAACCTGCATCATTTTTTTATAGAGACTTTGTAAAGAGATGCGGAGGATTGCTTCTTGTGATGTAAATCTGGAGCTACCTCGTCACAACTGGTGCCTATTTACTTTCCAGGCAACTCACAAGCTCTTTTGAAGACCACTTGAAGCATCCGTATCCAGTTGTGTTGATGTTGTCTGCAAATTCAAATATGCATGCTGGAATCGTTTGGGCTTTGGCGTTGGGCCGATGGACTTAAAAAGACAATGCAGGCCCCCTTTTTTCTTGTTGATGAGAAAAAGTAAAATTCAGTCCCGTTGCATGTATTACCTTAGTATGACTCCAAGTTGAAGACTAGTTTTGCGACCGTCGTTATGCAAATACTAGTTGGAGTACAAATTTTGGCTATTGCATTTCACTGCCGTAGCCCAGTCTTACCCAGGCCCAACAAGAATAATTGGACCCATGTGTCATGGTACAGTTGGCCCACTTTGCGAACCAGATTTTCCTTTTTTGGCGCCTGCAAGGAAAGCACAAATTTCCAGATACTGCCATGTGGGTCCATGGTCTATCTGTCAAGCCCACGAGAAGCTACGCCTCTACCCGCCGGGCTGCCTCCTCGGCAAACAACAAGTCCAGCGACACAACGACCGCCAATCTCTCTCGCACTCGTCGTACGTCCACAAGACGCTAGGCCAGAGCCCGACCGGAGCTGAAGCAGAGCGGAGGTCTCATTGCCCGGGCATCGAATCCAGCTCCAAGGTAGACCGCTTCAGGCCCCCTCCCCCAGGGCGACTCCACCGCCGCCGCCGCCTTCGGCCCCCGGTCCCTTCGCCTTCGGCCTCCCTGTCGGTGGTGAGGAGGAGCGGAGTCTGTCCTTTTAGCTGATCTACTGTTTTGTTAGGTTTTTTCCTTTTATTTTTCTTTCATCCCTAATAATTTGGGCTAGGTTTTGGCTGACCGTTTCGATGTTTTCGATCCGGCTTTCTGTTTCATACCGAATCGCTGGTGGATGCGTCGTCGTCTTCGGTGAGATCGAGGTATGTTGGCATAGTCCTTCTCGAGGAGGGATTGGATCTATTTTTCTCCTTCTACGTAATCGTCTTTCCGGCCGCTGGTGATGCTACTGGCGGTAGTGCATCTGCCCTTCCGGTTGCTGGTGGTGATGCTAGCGGCGTCAGATCTTATGTTCGGTTCAACCTTAAGAAGATATGACCGATGAGCTCTCGTCGCCCTTTACTCCCCGTAGTGGTTGAGCTTACCTTGCCTCTTTTGCGGTCTCCATGTTCGTGGAGTCTTCTGTTGGTAGAGACTGTGGTTCTCAGGTCCAGATCTGGTGTACTTTCATGGTCACGATGGAGCTTCTTGAAGGGGTGTACGTCGCCGGACGCGAGGAAGATGAAGTATAGGGACCTAGTGGTGTGCTTCGATGTAATTTATTTTATGTTGAGGTCTCAGTTGTAAAAGGGGTTTAAATTTAATGAAATCCAGTCCCTTTCTCAAAAAAAAAAGAATCAAGCTCCAAGGTAAGTTCTCTTCCCCTAAATCTACCCTAGGTCATCACTCAGCTCTTCCCCTTAGTAAAACTAGATAAGTTTGACTTAAGACAAAACTAAAACAAATTATAATTTAGGACGGAGGAAGTACAAAAGAAGGACAACTTAACCCAAAACGACATCTTAAAAAAATAAAATTACGCCAAAGACTTTTCTAGTCATCTTCTTCCTTGGATTGCTCGTCACTCGCCAGAGCTTATACGAATTGAAAGTTGTATCATTTTGACTTCAATTACTTTCTCTAGTAGCTTGCACATTCTTTCTTATGGTGACATGGATCTGTCCCATATTCCTTGGGGACAGATATTGGGTTTGCAGGGTCAGAATCGGAACATGAGTTCAACCACGATGGGTAGGGGTGGGCATAATTAACTAAAACCGAAGAACCAAACGGAAAGAATCGGAACCAAAACCGAAAGAACCGGAACCGAAAAAATCGGTTCCCTATTTGGTTCCAGATATCAAGGAACCAAAAAAACCGAAGAAAGTTCGGTTTCTACTCTCAGATAACCGAATTAACCGAAACAACCAAAATACATGAATTGTGCTTCACTTACATGCATTTTGTACGATTATGTTTGGTTTATGTGTGATGTCTCATATTTAAACTAATGTATTGGTGTTACTATATTGCTATTGTTCTCTTATCAATTATTATTATCTCAAATAGAGGTAGTGTTGCCCAAATTTTCTTTAGAAGCTGCATGTTTTTTTGTTGTCTTAACCTCTGCTTAAAAGTTGAGTTAGTTCGGTTAGAACCGGAACCAAATCGAAAGCCCAAATGCTCGGTTCTTAGAATTTCTCAGAACCGATCGGTTCCTATTTTCTAGGAACCAAATTTCTTCAAATACCGAAGAATCGAACCGAAAACCGAATGCCCACCCCTAACGATGGGTGGTATGACTGAAGATGGCATTGCTTCGCTTGGGAATGCCTATGGAGGAGACGTCAAGGTTGTGGAGGAGACCCGATGCCCTAGCTACCGCTACATAGGATTTTCTTTTCTATTCGATTAGCCCATGAGGCTTGTATCAAATTCGTATTTCCATATTATTTTAGGATGTAACAAGTTATTATACATTGTTTATCGATATATGGATGTGATACTATGCTGAGATGAGCTCTGTACGTGATAGCTGTTAATTCTGGGACTACCACAATGGTACAGAGAGTCGGGTTCTTGGTAAGAGAACCCGATTCATTTTAGTGCATGCGTCCATCCGAGAACTGATTTTCTTGGGACTTGGGACGTGAAGTCCCTATAATCTGGTCGCCAACACATTGTCAACATATATTTTTGACTACTTGGTACCAAAGTTGTAGAGCTCGATGAAATATACAACTTTTGTAATTGATGACTTTTTCCATTGAGGTTGCTTAGAGTATACCAAATAAATACGCAACTCAAAGTTGAGAGGTGAATACAAAAGAATAATATCCCTTATCTAGTGAAGAAGTGATATGTATGTGTGATGGTAAGAAGGCTATGCATGGAGCAAGAGGTCTTAGGTTCGGATCATAGGAAACGCATGAGTGCGTCGCGTGTAGATGCCTCCTAAAAATGGCTCTTTATTCTGCCATCAAGGGGCACCAAAGCATTTGGATATATTCCTAGCCCGACTACAAGGAAGCAGAATGTACTATTCAAGCATATAAAGGGAATTAAGGCTGCCAAAGAAAAGCACAAAGGAATGGCAATGCAACTGTCAATTAGTGAAGAATAAATTCATTTGCGATAACCCAATGCATAAACGCCTAGGCTGTTGAGAATAAATTCATTTGTGACAGCCCAATGCTTAAATGTCTAGGCCGCTGAGAATAAATTCATTTGTGATAAACCAACCTCCTGTCTGTCGGCCACGGCATGATAATATTAAGTCCTCCTCCAATACGGTAGCGATGTCGCTAGCGGACGTGGAGGAGAAAGAAGGCACAGATGTAGGCAAGTGCTTCGGGAAATGTGCGGAGAGAGTGAGAGGGAGAGGGAGGGGATGCATATGGAAACGTGCGAGACCGGCGCTTCATTTCGCGCTAGCACACTGGCGCTTCATTTCGCGCTAGCACACTGCTTTTTGCACCGGAATAAAATATAATTTTGGCTGGCAACGTCGCTAGCCATTGGATGAGGCCTATGCCTCGATCTCAGCCTCGGACAGATCACGCCGAATCCAATATAAGCCATCGGAATAAATGCGATCACTATATACAACTTTCATAATGGCGTATTCTCTAAGCGAAAGATTCGGATGCGCCTTGGCCGGCATTCGCATAATCCAAATATATTCCATCCGTCGTCTGAATAAACATGATGGCTATATATATAACTTCCATCCTAATTGAATGCTGTATCATTTTGCCTTCGGTTATTTTCTCTAGTAGCTTGCACATTTTTTCTTATGGACAGGGTGACGGTGGCCTCAAGCCGTATAGAACGGTGGCAGCTCAGACCCGGCGATCACATCTACGCCTGGTTTTTAAAAAAAATCATTCCCTACTCTCATCATGGTAAGACCAATCGTATATTCGTATTTAGTCCCATACACCTTAATGGAAGAAGCGTACATTTATGATTTATTAAAAAGAAAAGAGGGCGGAGGTTAGTTTAGCTTTGTCCTGATGAGTGCACGAATCCCAAGGTATATAATGTTGGCGTTGTACACAAGCGATTTTGCACTCGGACGTTGCTGTTGGTAGGATTTGGTTTTGGGATTCAGTAGTAATTCTTTTGTGTCTCTCAATCTCTCTCTCTCTCTCTCTCTCTATTAACTTGAGCGTACATACAGGAATCTACGAAAGCAACGACAAGGTGATCCACTTCACCAACGATGCGCAGTCTGCCTCCTCTGGCTTTTCAGCGTCGTCGTCGTCCTCCTCCTCCTCCTCCTCCTCTTTTCCCTTCTGCTCGAAGTGCCGCAAAGCTATGCGTGAAGGCGGTGTTGTCGCCTGCTGCCTTGACTGCTTCCTAGAAGGAAATAATCTTCACCTCTTTGCCTACTCGGTGCCTGAGTGGTTCTGGACACAGAGCAATATTGGTGTTCAAGACACCTGCTCCATGTTACCTGAAGAGCACCCCGAGAAGGTCTTGTACGTCGCCAACGACCTACTTGACCACGGCGACTTCGGCACTTATGACCTTGCGCTCAATAACTGCTTCGACTTTGCCTTTTACTGCAAGACAGGACGCCGTTATCGTTTATCAGTAGATGCGCTTGTTGACCGCTCGATGTCTCCGCCGCGAGACGTGCGCGACCCAAGGGGATGTATGATCGTGATGTCTCCGCCGCGAGACGTGCGCCCCCCGAGGGCATGTACAATCATGTAGAGACATGCCCCTCTTCGTTTCTTTTATAATCTATTTTTTTTAGCTTGTTTTTTTAGTCGGAACATTGTTTTTCTCTCGTAACAAATCAATCGGAACAGTGCTTCGGTTTGTTTTTTCAGCGAAGCGAACGGGGCCATATAACCTATTCGTTTAATTGTTTCTATGGCTTACCGGCTGATGCTGTTTTATTGTAAGAGAAAAACATTATATCATGACTAATAAACATGACTGATCTGATCAAGCGAACATAACGTGCATGTGTATATATATATATATATATATATATATATATATATATATATATAGAAAATATATAAAGGTCTGCCAGGCTTTTCCATCTCTGCTCGCCTTGAGCATCTTTTGACTACATTGTCCACCTTGCCGTGACCAATGAACACTGGCTGGTTTAGACACTCAGCCATGTAGCAGGTTTCGTCACGTGTAGCAGACTAGCTTTTTATCGTATTGATGAAACTGAGATCCTTGAAATATTAAGTTGCTGGCTACCCGGCTTGCTGCCGCTTCGTCCCTGACAAAATATCAGAGCAGTGCATTCTCAATGGTGCATTAATGATGGTTTATATCTCATTAAATGACTTGCTACGTAGGCAAAATGTTGATATGTCAACGTAATTAATGAGGAAAGAGAGCAAAAATCATAGAAATAGTTTCCTCATGAAGAAATCAGGTCTACTCTTGACCCAATGTACCAAGAAACCATGAAATCACCATTGGGGAGAAACTACCAGTTTCTAGGGAGTTCGTATCGCACTCTCATTGAAGGAAGAAGATAGAGTTGGGAGAGAGAAAGAGAAAATAATTATTACTCATAAAAACCATGGGTTGGAAAGCAGTATTTTTTTGTGCGGTATTCTATGTTATAGAAACTACTGATTTCTTTCGTTGGGACTGCCCTAATGGCCAGCTTCAAATGCCGATGCTGCAGGAATTTTGACCTTACGCTGCGCCACAAGCGTCATCAGGGACTACTCTTTTTTTGTTTTGCCTAATGCCGTATTTAGTTGGCGAAATAAAAATGTTTGGATGTCACATCGGATGTTTCGGGGATGTCGGAAGAGGTTTTCGGATACTAATAAAAAAAACTAATTACATAGCTCGCCCGAAAACTGTGAGACGAATTTATTAAACCTAATTAATCCATCATTAGCGCAGTTAGTACTGTAGCACTTATGGCTAATCATGGACTAATTAGTCTTAAAACATTCGTCTCGCGATTTTTAACCAAACTGTGCAATTATTTTTTTTCGTTTATATTTAATACTCCATGCATGTGCCGCAAGATTTGATGTGATAGTTTAGGATGAAAATTTTTAGAAACTAAACCAGGCCTAAATATGCGTCAGCTTCTGGAGGTGCCATAAACGCCATTATCCACGAGTGGTATTTGTGATTATATAACTATCTTAAATCAAGTCTTCTTTTTTTGAAAGATTTATTTAAATAAAGTTTTCTTCGAATCTAGAATCAAGTCACGGACGTCGATTTACGGTTTCAACGCGATAAAAAACTGGTCTGCTACACGTGACGAAACCCTAAATGTCTCTGAGTTCTGACGGGAGGTAAAATATATTATTAGCCACAATCACTCACTGTATAAATGTCTGCATAAAGAGTGAAGCACACATTTATGGGATCACCAACGTCACTGTCATTTCCCTGTAATACAGCTAACCACCAAAATCAGGGCATCGTAGTAATAAAACACTCTCATGGGGTGTTTAGTTGGTGAGCGAAAATGTTTAGGTGTCACGTCGGATGTGTCGGAAGTATATCGGGAGGGGTTTTTAATACTAATAAAAAAACAAATTACAGAACCCATCAGAAAACTACAAGGCGAATCTAATGATACTAATTAATCGGTCATTAGCACATGTGGGTTACGGTAGCACTTAAGTCTTTTTATGGACTAATTAGCCTTAAAAGATTTGTCTCATGATTTCCAACTAAACTGTGTATTTAGTTTTTTTCGTCTACATTTAATGCTACATGTATATGTCGCAAGATTTAATGTGATATTTTAGATTGAAAATTTTTGGAAACCGACCCTCAAACTCCCTCCCCATGCCCTCGATAGCTACGAGCCTACGATACAGTCAGACTTGATATCTGCCTACTCAGCTCGTACATGAATGTAGGGTGCCATGGCATGCACTTTTCATCCTATGGGTATGTCCAGCTCTACAAACGGCTAAAACTGGAAGTCACAGCCGTGCGTCAGTTTTTGTTTCGTGGTGTTGGTAGACAAAATAGGGAGAGGGTAGCTATCGCTAAGGCTGAAAAATGGAAATGAATATCAGGGGGATATGACCCTGATAAGACATGGACCGCATCATCAGAAATGGCTCAGCACACAAGACCGTGCCTTGGTCACGCCATTAGTGGAGGCCCAGCTCTCAAGATCATGCTGTACAAGGCGCGATACTGGTTAGCGTGCCTCGCAAGACTGCATGAAGATTTCTGGCGATCTAGAAGACCTGCTCGGATACACTAGATCCCGTGATATATGTAACTTCCCATCTTGTAAAACCGATCAGGATAGAAACAACCGATCTATAATCTTACCCCCGAGCTATATAAGGCGGGCAAAGACCCCCTCATTTTCATCGAATCATAAGCAATACAATCCACAAAGACACAGGACGTAGGGTATTACATCAAGCCGACGGCCCAAACCTGTCTAATCGATGTCTCTTGCGTTCTGTGTCACCATCCGGCTCCCTCACGCGCATCTCCACCGATTCATTTACTACCGTGGGCATACCCCTCGGTAGACTGCCGGACGTATTTCGTCGATAGTGGCGTGCCAGGTAGGGGGTGTGCGTGCTGAATCCATGGCAAACCAGATGGTCACCTTTCCGAGCTCCATGGCCTTTCCCGAGTCGGGCTAGGTCTTCACGGTCGGATCCATGATCTGGGTCATCGGCCTCGATGGCAACGGGGAGATCGTGGATACGGTGCAGGATCGTCCTACACCGATCGCGCCAACACCTGCAGCGACATCTCCGATCCCGGCGCCCTCGCCGCTGGGTTAAGAGATCCATCAGCAACGATGATCTGATCGCATCTATCGATCGGGTCACGGACCGCTTAACGGAATGTCAGCTCCTCGTGGATTCGGTCTTAGATCAATCCAGAGCGAGCGATGAATTTCCCGCACTCCAAGATCACCAAGCCGCTGCAACCGAGCGACCTGCTTGGCCACACCGTTCAAGGTGGCCAGATTCCGATCTGGTGATCACGACTACTCCAGAAGGGCACACGGTGCGGCGCCGACCACTTCCCGCCATCGGCCTACGTTTGGCCGATTACGAGGCCCCGATGGAGGACCCACCGAAGCTCTATCCTTTTGGGCTGGAGGGTATGGGATCTGCGTACCAGAACGCCATCCACCACCTTTTGGTCGATCACGTCGAGCGTGAGCACGTCACTGACCTCTACATGATCAACCCGACTGACTTCGGTCAGCCCGCGCCCGTGGTCAACATGGTGGCTCTCTGCCAGCTTTCGGATCATCCCTCTCACCCAACTGAATCTCTTCATAACATTCTGGATGAGAGCCCCAATGACTACTCTGAGGGCTCAACTCAAACCGAGCCGAGCTGCCCTGCTTTCCCTCCGGGGTTTGGGGGCGTGATTTTCCACGTCAGTCAAGATAGCGCCTCCAAGGATGCCGAAACTACTGAAGAGCGCACGGCTCGTCTGGCAAAGAATGCCGATCACCAACATCGCCGAGATGCAGAAGCAGTTCAAGAGGCCCCCGAGGATGGTCGTTGTGCACCTCGCCATCAACGCAATCTGGAGGAGGCATTCAACATGGTGGGCGACCAACCAGTTTACCAAACTCCAAGCGCTAATCTGGCCATCGCGTTCAATGAGCTCGACAAACTCCCTCACACTCCAGAGGTCGAGAAGGTTCAAGCGCATATCATAGCGGCGTAGGTCCAAGTCAACGAGTTCCAGAACGACGCCCCATCTTATTCCACCGCATCAGCCCGAAGCCACCGCTCTCGTCGTGATGGCGGAGGCCAGCACCACGACGTCGAGGGTCCCCAACCTCAGGCTAGGGGTCCCTACCTCTATAGAGGATCCAGAGGTAGCCATGAAGCTCATTCACGCCACGACGCCCGTCCACCGCGTCCCCAGGGAGGTCGGGGCGGCAACCGCAACCAGGAGGTCAATCAACCCCCCTCTCGCGACCTTCGTGACCACATCAATGCTGGCACAGATGTCCATGGCTGCATTGAAAACAGTAGGGCTGCACGCTACGATGCAGAGATGGATTTGCTGCCCGTCAAGCTCCACTTCCCGCCGGCGCATCAGGACTCCGCCCCTTCATGGAAAGGCTCCGAGCTGTTCGGTGGCCTGTGGGTTTCAAGGTCCTTGGTGTTAATACCTATGACGGAAAGGCCAACCTCGCTCAGTGGCTAACTCTATACGAGATCGCCATGAGAGCTGCAGGCGGAGACGAGGACCTCATGGCGAGCTTCGAGGCTACAGGAGCCTGGAAGCGGGTAGCCGAGGCTCGGAGGGAGCAGTTGGCCTGGCACATCGTTTTCGAGGCTACAGGGACCCGGACGTGACTTTCCATGCCTGAGCAGGGGTTAGGCAGTACAACATGGCATGGGTGTCTGTCATGGGCACAGTGTCGAGCACAGCGGCCGATAACCCCCGCCCCATCCTGTCTCGAATGGCATGGGGTCGATGTGACTCCCATCTCATCGGCCACTCCGCTGTTCCGTGCCATCGTGTGGCTGACATTGTGGGAGTGGTTGAACGCTTTAGTTGGATGTGATGTCCCATCAGAGAAGTCGGTCAAGGCGGCGGTGACGGGGTTGATGCTGAGTTGGCCTCGAGCGAGTCGGTAACTGGGTGCTCGTCCGAGGCCTCGTGGCGCGGGGCCTCGGGTGAGTCGGAGAATCAGAACCTCATCCAAGGCCTTGTGGCGTGGGGCCTCGGGCGAGTCGGAGAATCGGTGGCTC